TCACTGGGTTGGAATACCCCCGGCCTGTTGACTGATGCGCAAAGCAGTCCAATCTCACCATATACCATAACAAGCATGTTGGCTCCAATCAACCATCGGGTTGGAATACCCCAGGCCCAGTCAACCTCCGTGTCCAGTCATCCATCAGGATGGAATACCCCAGGTTGGAATATATACCCTTGGGCCCAATCAACCATCGGGTTGGAATTCCCTTGGTCTGTTGGCTCACGTACAAAGCAGTAAAGCCTCAACCACCAACCAAATATGTGCACATATAACAGATAAACATATAATCAGTCAATAGACAATCAGGCATATCTACAGATCACTAAGCATAGCATCATCCTATCTACCAGGATACCGATCTAACAGATCACTACGACATGATAACATATTATCACATAACAGGATATCTAATCCAATGGGTCGGCCTTGGTGCCTTCGACCCATAAGTACGGTGAAAAGAACTAACCTCTCGATCTGATTAATAACTGATGAGGTCCCGACTCCGAATCTCAGCTCTAACCGACACCTATCCATCCAAAATACCAAATTCTCAAACACCATCCAAAAGACTAAAATACCCCTTGGTCCAACTTGGTCAAAGCCAAAGTCAAATTGGTCAAAATCCATAAGTCAACTGAGTCAACCCAGCCAAGTCGACACAGTTCACATACGCGGGGCGTACTCCAGCGTTGACCGCCATCAAGGGGCTTAACTACGTACGCACTGCATACTCAAATTACGCAGGGCGTACGCCCAGTTTTCCCAAAATCTCTTTAAGAGCTTATTGCATTAAGTTCTTACGTCCAATCTTCAGATCCACGATCAAAATACCACTAGGAGCCATAAAGTTTCCAACTTTATGACTTTACATGTCCATTAAGTGCTCAATCCAAAAAAACTCAACATCTTAATGCCTTAAGGCATTTCATACCATGCATGGAGCAAAACCAACCCTTAATACTACATTTTTATGGCTTAAGACCCCTCCTAAGGTCTGAAAGGACGGCTTAATGGGTCAAGAACATGCCATGCTCAAAACTCCTCAACTTGGGACCAAAAAGGACATAAAATCAACACATAAACAAAATCTAACAAACTAGCCATCAAGGTATGAACTTTATACCTTCTAATGATGGGGAATGATGCATAACTTCCAGATCCAAGCTTGCTTCTAGCTTCCAAGATTCACCACCACCTTCTTTTTCCTTTGAAACACACCAAAGCTCACACTCAAACTTCCAAATGCTTAATGGGGCTAGGGTTTGCAAGAGAATACGTTTATGATGATGGAGGCTAGAAATAGGGAAGAAAATGGGGCTTAATGATGTGTAAATATGGGCAAAACCCTAAAAACTAGGGTTTGGAATCTGGCTACGTACGAGTGTACGCCTAGCATACTAGGGCGCGCCCTAGTACGCCCAGCGTACGCACGTACGCACCGCGTACTACTCAAAACCTAATTTACGAAAATGCCACTAAGGCCTCTTTGCACTCTTTTCTCACTTAGGGACCAAAAATGCAATAAATCTCAATTTAAGGGTCAACAATAGAAGTGCCTCAAAACCAAATGTTGCATGTTAAAATAATTATTTTCCCTTATTGTATTAATTATTAATTATATGATTATTTTAATACCTTTAAAATAAAACCCTAAGACCCACCACATGCCCTACAATCTCTTTCTTTCTCCTTATGAGTATCCCTCTCTCGAGCCTTCCCTTTCCAGTTACACAACAACCATCTCTTCATGTCGTGGATCTCTTCCTCTTACCTCGAGTGTCCCATCTCCCTCATTCCTTCATATATCTCTTTCCCCTATGCATCTCTCCCACGATCATTTGATGTACTTTTAGAGATTTTGATTAGCCCAATTTTGTTTTGATTTGTATTTTTTAGTACACATCGATCAAGAAGGGTGGCAATAGAATCACCAAGAAGAGCTAGGATTCATGATTCAAATATCGATTCAAAATCACAATCGTAGCATACTCTACAACTTTGATCAGGCATCTAAAAGTCCTTCGACGCATCTGTTGGCTCAGACTGCCGAAGGATCCATGATCTAAGGTTACCTATCAAGATTAGTTAATGGTCTCTTTGTTTAATCCATGGATAAACAAGTTTCTTACCCCTTTCATATTGTAATGTCTAGCAGCCTACCGTTTATAGTACTCCTTCAATTCAACTTGTATAAATGAAATTGTAACTCTGATGCATGATTAAAGAACATGAAGCATAGATTTACCCTTTGTTAGAATTTGTGATTTTATTTGATTTGTTGATCATTGTGACATGAAATAATCAAAAGAGCGAACGTTTTGAAAAATTCTAATTGTTTGGATATGGGATCCAAATTAAATAAAAATAACATTAAAAGTTTAAAATTAATAAAAATATCAAATGAATGATTTTATTAGTTGTTTTATAAGGGGTGCTACTATATTTATTCAATGGCTGCCAATTTATTACACGACACGACAAAAATACACGACATGAAACGAAATTGGGACGAAATCGAAATTTGAATTTGTGTTTGTGTCATGTTGCGTTTGTGTTTAAAATTCGACACGAAATTGATATGATTTAGCATGTGTTTCGCGTGTTTTCGTGTTTTTCGTGTTATATGTGATTAAGTCTGAATTAAATAAACTACCAATTATATTATTTTATGTTTGTCATATCGTGTTTGGTGTTTTTCGTGTTTTAATCGACTCGTTTTCGTGTTAATGAAAATAAACACAACATCGTATTGTGTCGTATTCGTGTTATATAAAATCTTGTCATGTCGTGTCAGACAAAAACACGGCACGATTGTCCGATTTGACACCCTTAATTTACTCTCTCACTCACATAAATTGTCAAATCATGGGGATACACAAACATTATTTTACTCATAAAAATGGTACACTAAACACTTTGGAGGAGTACGTATAGAATTTCCTTTTGTAAGGATTTAACTTATTAAACAAACTGGTGCTAGTTTTAGCTTGTTAGTTCTACATATTAAAATCAACAATAAAATTGTGTTAGAAAGACACAAGTTGAAACTTTTTTGGATTTCAATCGAAGAAATTACAAACTACAATGATCATTTTTCTTTTTAGTTTTTCTTTAAATAATTAATTAAAAAATACTGTGTTAATAAACTATAATTTCCATACCATTTAAAAAAACAGTGAACAATTATAACAAGAGTCAAGTACTTATTTAACATTATCAACGTTGTTCAAAATTAATAAACGTAATAATTGATGATTTATTTGCTGAGAGGTAATTTTTTATATGGATTTTTTTATTCTTTATAAAAAGAAAATCATAAAAGCAAATATGAGAACCAAAAGTGTCCACTTATTCATTTAAAACCAACATGGAATCCACTGAAAAAATATGCTATTAACAGAATCTGCCATGAAACTTTTGTATTAATTAGGTCATGCAATAAAGGAGTTTAAAACCAACTTTATAAATAAAATGCATTTTATTAACTAAATATTTAATTTTTTTTGTGCCGTGATATCTTTGGACATATAAATTCAGTAATTATCTAACTTTTATTCTTGCATGGTAAAGATAAAATGTGCAAAAGAGTGACATCATTTACTATGAGATCATTCACGTAAAAATTAACAAACAGAATTGAGTCAATAACATAAATTTATCATTTTATTTTATTTTTAATTCGAATGATACAAATTTATACTCATCAAACATTGTAGACCTAGTAAAGAATCGTCTCCCAAATAAGGAAGCATCACCAAACGCTTTCAAATATTGGACACGTGTGAGATTCATATGACTTGTTATGTAGTAATTTTGCATTTGCTGGTTTGAAGCTCATTTGCATCTCGTGTGTATTTCCCCTTTTCTCTTTCTCTCATTATTGGTTGGTTTAAAGTTCTTCTCTAGTTTCCTATTCAAGGAAAAAGTTCTCCTTTTCACGAGAAACCGTTAAATTTGTGTTTTTTCTATTTTTATTTCTTTTTTCATGCTAACTTATTTATGATTTGACATTGTGATTTACAAGATTGATGCTAAAATAACAAATTCACACCACCATTGTTAGGTTTAACGCAAATATTTTATTTGTTTTTATTGTCCCCATTGTATGTATACCCTTTATATATGGGTTCGTGTTTCTTATGTGGGTTCTCTTTTGAGAACCAACTCTACCATCGGGTTGAACCATGACTACACCACCCTCCTTTACTAGTTCATGTTTCATATGTTAGAAGTCATATGTGAGCTACAGTTGTTTCACCATCCCGTAGAAGTATAAATGCCGACATCTACCACCTTTTACCTAGTTCAATTGAGATTGTAAGGATTGTTCTAAAACTCTTATAAAAGTTCAACTTTAATATCTTTCTTTTTCATTCATAATATCGAATATTTACCTTATCTAATAGAAAAGAATAAGAGTCTCACAAAAGCCTACCCTAATAACTCTATTGTTTAAATTCTATACCTTTATTAATCATACATAATAGTTTATATAACTTTAGTTTTCTTTGTGGATTTACAAATGGAAATTTGAGAATATGTCCAAAAGTGTGTACTATATCCAAGATATTTATAAAAAATGTCTCCTTTTTTTTTTCAAAAAACCATTTATTTATTTTATCACTTATTTTCCTGTATAAATTAAAGATGTTTTTTTTTCTATTTATTAAAAAAAAAATCTGAGAAACTAAAGAGGGGTACTCTTTAGATGATAATGACGAAGGTAGAAACATGTGAGTGACTTTCGAGATCACATGTGTGCTTTCCTAAACCGCGACATTTACGCTACTACCGTTATTTACACCTACACTCCCTTTATTTCAAGCAACTTGTCATTTCTCTTTCCTTTATCACTTTTTCTACATTATTTAAACCAACCATTCCCTCCCCACCACTTACTACTTACTTCCCCCCTCTCTCCCCGTCTCTCGACTCCCAATCCATGCCGCTCCGCCGTACCACCGACGCCCATAACCTCCGACCACTAAATCAAAATGGCTACTCAAGACTCTCAGTCATTCCACTGGCGTTACGACGAGCTCGACGATAAGAACTTCCAAATTAGAGGCCGGACACTCTTCTTCATCATCGTACTCTTCTCCGTCATCTTCTTGATAACACTTCTCTTCCTATACGCCCGCTGGATCTGTCGGTCCTCCTCCTCTTCCGCCGCCGTCTCTGACACCACCACCTTGTCTCCCCACGTCCGGCCCTGTTCACGGCCTCAAGGCCTGGATTCCGCTGTGATCGATAGTCTACCGATCACTCTGCACCATCGGCCTTCAACGTCGTCGGCGTCTTCCGGTGAGTCGGAGTGTTGTATTTGCATCGGAGAATTTGAAGAAGGGGAGAAAGTGAAGGTGTTGCCGAATTGCTGCCATACTTATCACTGCGAGTGTGTAGACAAATGGCTCACCATTCATTCCAGCTGTCCTATTTGCAGAGCTTCACTCGTAGTCGACTCACCCGTTTGACTCGGCCATTTTTTTTTTTTTTTTTTTTTACCTTTTTGCTAGGAATGTATGCAAACAAACTAAATGGATAAAGTATAAATTAATATAATATCCATCTTCATAGTTTAATTATATTCGCTTCAATCGTATCATTTTGGTACTTTGTCGCTTAAAGAAAAGGAAAAGAACTCGTTAATAGTTAGTGGTTATATTAAATTGTTAATAAAAATATCGAAAACGCATTGTAAAAAAACTATGTGACTTTTGATCATAAACTAACATTCTAATATTAGTAAAGAAAGAAATGGATATTTCCATGAATAAAAAAAAAAAAAGAACTTGTTAAAAACTTGAATAACTTTAAAGACCAAATATATTAAAATATATCTAAATGATTAGATTAGACACAAAGTCCACGAAACCACGGTCTAAAAAACATGATTTTGATAATACTTTAATAATTCATGATGAAATAGATTTTGGTTTTTTGTGTATGGTTTTTATGGGACATAAAGTCCAAAAATGTTACAATTATGATGCACACTTGATAGAAGGAGATGACCATACATTCGATGTCGATTAGTATATGAACCATTTAAAATTGGGACTGGAAGACCCCACGCTCATTGTGGGGATGTCTCCATCTTAAGTTAGGCAGTTTCTTTACGTGAAAAAAATATTCCTTCGACCATGTAAAATAAGAATTTTTTAGAATAAAACACATGACTATTTTATTGATACCGACAGTCAAGTGGTTTCGTGAAAATACAATTAATTTCAAAGTTCGTTTTTAGAATGAAACACATGATTATTTAAATGAAACCCATTTTGATTAGCGGCTTTTAAATTTGAAGAGGATAAAACGGATTATTCATATAAACATGTAGACTAATTAAAAGGGAATTTAATAATGCAAGAAAGACAATCGTGAAAATGATGGGATAAATTAATAGTTGTATCCGTTTCTTGAGATAACTAAATAGATTTGTCATTTGTTCATGCACATGTTGACAAATATGATGGCATAAGAATTAAGAACCTTTGTTGGTTTCTTGTAGTGATCAAATAGTTTTTTTCTTATAAACACGTGTACACGTCAAAAGGTGGGAATGAGAAACCCATCAAATCAATTTCACCAAGTCTAAAGAAAAATTTAGAAATGCAAAGCATAGATTCCTCAAGAAAATGATTCTATGAGGACGTTTTGTCGGTTTCTTGAAAAAAAGTACGTACGTTTATATATTCGTATAGAAACTTGTTAAATCATTTTCACATAATCTTAATGATTTAGGTGAGCCGAATGAAACACTTTTAAGAGAACGACGACAATTGACACCTGAAGATTTTGTCAGTTTCTCGTATATAATTACATGGATTTCTATGGTGACAAAACGTACGAGAAAGAATCCCATTAAATCATTTTCACAATATACGAAGGATAGATAGTTCATTGACTCATACAACTACTAGAAAACGACGGAATAACAACATTTCTTTTAGTTCTTTGAATGTAGTTACATAAACTGTCCAATAAACATGTTCACAGGTGCATGAGACAAAACATTGAATGGTATTTGTAAAGGATAATCACAAAAATGTCGACATTACTTTTTAAAATTAGAAATGAAAACTTCATAAAAGTCCTTATATTTTGATCTCATAAGAGATTTAGTTTTTATGTATTTTTTTATTCAATTAAGTCCCAAAAACCGACAATAGTATTTATTTTGACCATTTTACCCGGTTAACAGGGTGTTGTTTGTTTTAACGAGACGAAAACTCATAAAGTCTGCAGACCACCTCTGCAACAGAAGAGGTGGGCCAAACGGCTGCAGCCTGTAATAAGAAGTCTATTTGTTTTTTAACATTTGTAGGCTGCTACAATAAATTGAAATTTAAATAAACTGATTTTACAAAATGAAAATAGTTCTCAACACCGAAATTTTAATAACTATAGTCTTAAAACATTAAAAAAATACTAAAAAAATCATGTAAACAAACAAAAATATAAAATTTATAAAAAAAATCTTAAAAAAATATAAAAGAAGCTATCAGTTTTTTTTAGAAAAAGCTAATTTTAAAGAACATTAAAAAAAAGAAAATTATAAAAAAATTAAAAAAATATTTTAAACAATGTCTAAAAAATTCATAAAAAAATCACACATGTTAAAAAAGATGCGGCCGAAACTGAAAATATTATTAAAAAACGAAAAAAAATCAAAGTTTTATGTCAAAAAAAACAAGTTATAAAAAATTATGGAAACTATAAAAGGAAATTATATCAAATCCGTAAATCAAATTAAAAAAAATCAAATTAAAAAAAATCAATTTTTTAAAAAATAAAGTTATACGAAAATTCTAAAAAAATCATTTGGAAAAAATGAAAACTGAAGATGTTTAAAGAGGCAACTCAAGTGTTGTTTGGCACAGAACACGCGCAGATGTTTTGTAGTCTGAAGTCTTCCAAAAAACAAACTGTTGTGAGATGACAAGTGTTGTGTGTGTTGCGCCGCGCAGTAAAAAATGGTCTGAAGAGGTTTATCTAAAAAAACAAAAACCTCTAGGACATCCCACGTTCAAAATTTACATTTTTGGTCCAGACTTTAAATTTTAATAAAAATTTGTTCAAAAATTTATACTTTTGTTTCAATTTGTAGAAAAAAAATATATATTTTCACATTAAAACCCTTCTTTTGTAACACTCCAAAAATCATGATATAAAAACTTTTGTTTTTAGATTAATAAATCGTTAATACATGTCTTTCCCACAAAAACCAGAGTAATTAAGTTTTAACAAAACATTGACAAATCAGAGTAATTCACAAAAGACGGAACATGTGGTGTGTGCTCTGCAATCATCTCGAGCCATTCCATTTGAAAACCAGAGTACCTGAAACATAAACTAAAAACCATAAACACAAAGCTTAGTGAGTTTCCCCAAAAATCACATACATACATACAACCACAGAATATCATCCACAAAATATCATCCACAAAACATCATGTGACATACATATAGTTGTCATGGGCTCCCCCCATGGTCTTTACCAGGAATTCCATGGGCTCCGCCCCATGGTCTAATATCCAAGTGTCATGGGCTCCCCCATGGTCTTATATCCAAATGTCATGGGCTCCCCCCATGGTCTTACATGCAAGTATCACAGATACAACTAGCATTCCACATAACAAGTAATGGGTCGGCATTGGTGCCTTCGACCCATGGATATAGTGAGAATACTCACCTCACACTGTCGAATCACACAGACGAACCCCGGCTGCTGGCTGACAGATCCCTGAACTATCAATCATCAAAACAACACCCAATTAACAATTAGGTGCCAATGCATAACCATAAACCCATATTTGGGGTAAAAATACTATTTTACCCCTATCCTAGCTTGGTTCAAGACCAAGGCCCAAAAGCCAAATAATCAACCAAGGCCCAATTATGGCCCTATTTTCCAAATTGGGCCCAAACCCCTTACATGGGCCTTACCCTAAAGTCCATCCAATTTTCTTAGTCCATACACTTGTTCTCAGATGGCCCATCAAGAACCCAAACACCTAAGCCCAAAAGAAAAGGCCCAACTCGAAGCCCAAACACAATTAGGGTTTTCACATAAAATGACGATTAGGGTTAAGTAAAAACACTTAACCCATTAAGGACTTAATCCATTAAGTTCATTGCTCTACTAGGTCAATCATACAATATGGTCGGGCATAATTCATAATTCCAATCCAACGGTCCAAAACGCGGGTCCTGGCAAATCCCAAACTAAAGTCTCCAAAATTAGGGTTTTCTAAATCCTTATCAGGGTTTCCAACCCAAACACATGTCACAACGTCCAAAGTTAAGTTTTTAGGTCAATTAGGGTTTCACTAGGTCGAGCACTGTCACACCCCCAAACCGAAACGGCGGAAACGTGCGGGGGTGGAGGACGTCATGTACAGTATCACAACAATTGTATAATAGTAATCAAAGCAACAACAACCATCGTATTAATATAAAGTTTACATTGTGTTCAAAACATTCCATGATTTACATTAAAACTATAACAAAAGATAAGACGTAATATTATTATGCTTCGTTCTTCGTAACGCCTGAGAGGGTACCTGTCTACTAACTTTCTTGAGAATACAAGTGGTTTGAAAAAGTTTCAACATTAAAGTTGGTGAGTTCATAAGTATTTTTGTTATAAAAAATATACTCTTAGTTCTTTGGAAAAGTTTGCATGTTCCTCCAAAAAATCCTATATTTTCTTAATGAGTAATATGACCGTACCCGTTCCTTCTGTGATCATTTAGTGAATACAAATTATATATAATACAGATCGAATAGACAGTTGAATGTGTGGATCTGCCCTAAGCCTACAACCAAACAAGGAACAGGAAGTAAGGCGGAAGTCACACATTCCACTGCCCATCGGATCTTCATTATATATAACTCTAACGTATTCACCAAGTAATCACAGAATTAACATTAATGATTCTTTTAGATATGATGA